TCTCTACCAAGGCCTACTCTGGACCAGACGACCGAGTAGTACAATAGCCCAAAACGCATACAATGATAAATTTCTCGAATCTCACATCTCTCCAGTGTCAAATTTCTTTACTCAGCGAAAAACATCTCACACTATACACACATTCAAGTCTCCCCAGCTCTCCAACATTTCACCCTCCTAACACCCTTTCTTTCGGGTTCTTTAGACCATCGTACTAACAGTAGCTCCTCGGATGGAAACTCTACCGCTGTTCTCTCCGGTCCTACCTCGACTAACGTCCAAATATCATCAAACCCTTCACCAGATGAAGCCCTTCTTTGTTCTCGATGCCCATTCAAACGAACACATTTAATTTGCGCACTCTGATGCATATAGGACANATAGGACAAAAGGCCTGTTTATCTCGTACGCTCGAGACCCTAACCATCGATGTTGCATCGGTGTTGCATCCAAGAAAATTGCATTCAAAACTCCAGCTCCATTATCTGATTGAAGTCCCCATCAAACCCAACAGTAAAGTTTCACTTATACCTCTCTGGGGACCCTGATGCTGCGGCTTCCGGTTCTCAGTGAGAGAGCTGAAGCCGCGCACCTGGTTTTGGTCCCAGCCGACAGTGGGTTGTGCGCAGTGAGACTTAGAGGTGCGCGCAAAGTAAACAGTCGTCGCCGCAATGGACGCAACTTGTTTGTCGTGTCGGGGTACGCCCCAAAGTACTGCTGCCCAGGGGAAGTTAAAGATGGATTTTACCATAATCTACAGGACCTCTTGCGTTAAGCGAGTCGGGTTGACATCGTGATTTTAGCAGGAGATATGAATGCTAGAGTAGGTTGACTGACTTCGAGAGAGGCGCACCTGGGAGGTTCTTTCGAACTAGATTCCTGTCGCTCGGAAAACGGGGAACGGCTGTTGACTCTGTGTTCCGAACATGGTCTATTCCTCGCCAGTACGAACTTCAGACACTCCAACTGCCGGTACGCCACTTGGCGTCCACCCTTCTCGAGTCAGAGACGGACACAGATAGACCACATCGCTATAAGCCACAAGTGGTGGGATAGCATATAAGAATGACGATCGTAATGGAGCACATCTCTTGAATGCAACCAAGCGTTAGTTTGCGCTAAGCTGCCATGTGCTTCGGTGGGTGTTCTAAATGCACTACACAATGACAGTTTGATGGTGATAAGTTGTTTGAACCATCACGCCTGTCCTTCAGAACGCACCAGCTGAAAAGCTAGAGCCAACCCCACCCGATGACATTAACCAACGCTGATCGCTTATCAATAATGCTCTGCATTGTACTAGCTTATTCACTTGTGATCCGACAGGTTACACCGCGACACTCTAGATTTCTGCGGAGTCTCGACGCATTAACGACGCGCGTCGATCAATCCTGACCAGACGCGAGCATAATGGAATACCACACGTAACGAGTCGTAACCTCAACGTAAGCTTACTCAGAGACCGCGAGATATGATGGACTTAACGCACGTCAGAGATGGAACGTGCTGCCGCCGTGGGAAACTCTCGTAAGCTGTTTCACCTCATCCGGGTCACCTTGGGTGTACGCGAAACGATCTGCAAAGCTGAAGGTTAACACATTCATAATCAACAGCGACGTCTTGCACACTGTGAGGAACACTTTAGGGCACAGTTTAATTGTCCACCAGTGTCGGCTTCTCATACAGCTATTCCGGCACACGTCCTATGGTCTGTCTCAACAGACCCACCTACTGAGGCGGAAATCCGTAAGTAGATCCAAGCCCTTGGACTCCTCAAAGCGCGGGGCTCGGGAGCTTGACCATAACTGGTGTTGGTGTTATGGTGGAGATCACACTACGAATAACGAAAGCTAGAACAACTTTCGACAACGTACGACACATGTGGCACCACCATGAGATCCTAATGCTCCTTAAGGGAAGGGTGTGAATCACCGCGGTTCGTCGCGTTCTGCTATACGGTTGCGAAACACGGCCCCTCCGCGTTGAAAATGCTAATTGACTTTCTTTATTTGACCACCGATGTCGTCGAAGCATTGCTCGTGTCTGGTGGGAACATCAGTTGAGTAATGACGAGGTTCGTCGTCGTGTGTTGGGTGTGGACAATCGCTTTCTAACAGAAGTAGTCACTCTACATAGCCAATGATGGCTTGGGCACGTTTTGCGTATGCCTGCCCACCGACTACCGTTCCGTGCTATCTTTGCGCGCCTCGGGCATGACTGGAAGAAGAGCGGTGGTCAGATCATGACATGGCGTAGAGGTATGAAGAAGTTGACTTCCGCTTCGTTGTTGGTTAGTGCAGCTCGCCTTCCAGGTTGGATCCCAAGGGTTGAGGATTATCTTTGGTTAGAGACGTTAAGAGATATAACCCAGAATAGAAGTAAGTGGCATGAATGCTGTACGGTCTACCTGTTGAAATCCGGTGCCCCATAGAAAAAGATAAATTCTCAAAAAAATATCCTAAAGCGTACGGTAAAAGAAACAGAAAAATTTTTCTTCTCGCTTTTGAACTTGACTATCTCATGCCCTTTTGCACTGCTTTGTATCCCACCCCACATTTTCTGTTACTCTTGTGTTGCGTGTACACCAAGCTTGCTACCAATCCGTTGATAAATAAATAAATGTATGATGGAAAATTTTCCTGTGAGACGAACGTCACGTAAACATAGTGGAAACCAAGCAATGTTCACAAAGTTCAAAATGCGTGGCCGGTTACCAAATGATTAAAAACACACCCCAAAATCACTCGATCATATAGATCGAAGTAATCATACCTGACTGGATAGATGGAGTTCTTTCGTGAAACCGGAAAGATTGAAAATCTGAAATTAAAAAAACGAAAAAATATCATCACCTAAATGTTCTCGTGTAGAGGGAACCTTAGATTTATGACTAAGAGTGCAATTCCATTGCTTTATGCTATAAAGTTCGTTGTGCGAACCATTTGAAATGCGTATATGGAAATGATGATTGCACATATGGGTAATCGGTTCGGAAGTATTGTAACACAAGTGCTTTCGCTCTTGCCTTTTCTCTTTTATCTAAAACCAGGTTAGGTGGTTTGGTGATGAATGCCGTCTTCAGATTCATCATAACTGGAAGCGACGTAGATGGTTAATGTAGTTTTGACTCCGTTCAGGCTGCATGTGTTTTACCACAGCTAGTTTGACCCAAGACGATCAGGGTGTCCGTAGAGAAACTTGGAAATACAGTAAGAATTTCATGGGTTTTCCTGACCAATACATTTACCATGTTTCTTTCAGTTTCGGTAAACTCAACTGTCCCCAGGATAACTTTGATGGGTTTCGTCATCAATCCTTTCAGGCACAGACTGGCAACCAGAACATCTTAGATCTTTCAGTTGTGTGTACCAACATCTGAACTAGGCCATCTCTCTATCTGACACTTGAAAATGGCCGTCAAAATAATGCTACATTCATACACCTGGTTGAAACAGAAAACGAAAATGTCAACGAAATTGCTTTCTTTCGGATCACTGATCCGAGAAAGCATCCACACGAGTTGTTTATCGCTCCGTAAAACGCTATTGGTTGTGATTCGATATCACTCCAAGTGACTCGCGTTTCGCGTGTTGAGCAACCAAGGATGTGACCCCGAAATGTTCAGGTATTTTTAACGCGCGAATAAATAAATGTTGTGTCATATTTTCATCAAAATCGAATATACTAGATCAACACTGATACCAAGCCTAAGTACGTGAGAATCTTCGTTGGATATATCCCTTTATAACTATCATAATTTTATTATAGGAATCACAGCCAACATACTGTACGTGAATCGTGCTACACTCCGAGGGAACAGACTGAAACAGCAGTTAGTAGAAATGAATTCAAAGGGGCGCACTAAGTCCTGGCCAGTCAGTTCTTTAGTCTTGAATGTACACATTTCTCGCACGAAGTAGGCTACCCTGTATAGGTAACCTTATACACATGGTGTTGTGACTTAATTCATTATTTTTCATTTTGTAAAAGCACATTTGGGTTCTTGCTTACCTTTGTTTACCCATCATTATCAAGGATGTCTGTGGTACAAGATATTGAGAAGCCAAGAGCAGATCTTAGTTACATGAAGGGAATCAGGGTTGATCTCTAATTTACTTAGGTTCTGTGATGATTTCACAAAAACTGAACGTCAATTGAGTTCTGATTTTATTCCCGGATAACAAATAATCACGGAATATTTGCAAGCTATTTTATGTTAAGCCGTAGTGCTGTGGATTCAATGTACCATTTAAAAATACTAGCTCATCGCTTGCTATCAATTTTGATTGCTTTGAAAGATCGGATGTAGAATTTTTCGATGCTATTAGTAAACTATCTGCATGACAACTCTCCCTGGATTTACAAAGAACCATGTCCTTACGGACATGTTGTCCCTCTTCAGGTGTGGTTTTACTCTTCGTTCAAGTGTTAAGACATGTAACTCATGCATTTCGTGGTGGTTGTGTGTAACACCTTTGGAAAATTACCATTCACAGTTTGAATGTGAGTCGTGTTCATGACCCACCGAACACCGGTTCCTTGATGTTTATATTTTCGCCATCTTACTGATTGTCAATTAATCTTCTCCACGGACGACCTCTTGTTCTTCGACGGTCTCAGCCCAAGTGAGACCCGGCCACCAATTTGGCTGTCCTGTTCATCCCTTCATGGGAGTTATCCTGCCGAACACTTAAGCCCGGCCCCTCTAAGCCGCTCTTTTTATTTCCTCGTTGGTAAGCAGAACGATCTTATTGATTTTGAATGGTATTAGAGCTATGCTTGCACATGACAGATTGTGAATGATGATGTGATTAGCATGAACTATTCGATTTCAGGTTGTGATCATATTACATTAAAAATCCATCTTTGAAATAAAACGCTGTGTTGGCTTTCCAAAATTTTGTATTATTAGTGATAAATGATTCGACGGAAATGTTCTTATCGATAGTAAGCCAAGCTTTTGTGAATCAGTTCGTTGTGCACAATCTTGAAGAAACAACTACTTATGTACTTCAACGAAGCAGCTTGATACAGGTGGCTTTAGAGATTATGACGCAACATTTAGAATCAAAATTCAAAAGTGTTACGTTATCACGAGTATTTTGAAAAATTGTAAAACTTTAAATGAATGGGGAAATAAGGAAATCAAGAAATACGGTTGAGCAGTGGAGCAAAAAATCTTTCCGGCTGTTTTTGTGTTTTCCAAGTTATTAATGAACTTGCGATGAACTGTTTTCCCATTCCATATGAACAATGCGAATGTTTCGCATATTCGACCAACGTTGTGAATGAACATTCCAGATAAAACGGTGTTATTCAATGAATTTTTACATAACGTTTTAAGTAGATAAGCAACTAATTTTACACATCATACTTAATTCTAGTCAAAATAAATTCGAACTATTCTTTGGTGCCTTTGTCAATAAAATCCAAATGTTTTCCATTTTCTTCCTTTATCCCATGTGGTTAATCATTTACATGAGAAAAACTCGATAAGGTATATGATAGGATTGGTACTTAGATTTCAGCTCCAAATCCTAATTGGTTCACATCCTAAGAAAGATAAAAATGTTTAATTGCCAAATGTTGTGGTTAATTGATATAAGTTACCAAAGTACATCTGGAGGTACTGAGTCAGAATCGCTCAACCAGTAGCCTATGTTTGGCCGCAGCACCCTTCCTGTAAGTGGACTGTATATTTTTATGTTCAATAAACGGAGGAGGAAGTAAGCCCATTAAAATAAATCTCTTGAGAGAAATGCGTAATGTAGCACTCATGGAATATGTTCTCTTTAAAGAACAGAAACTCCCATCAATCCAGCTTATTCCACGAATAAACTCCAAATTTTACCACTAGATTTATCCTAGAAACATATTGATACCGCAAAGAATGTGTATCATAGGCATAAGACTCAGGCTATGATCAACTATTACGGTCCTTAGCAGAAAACGGGAGACGGGATTTAGTCACACTTAAGATATGCGAACTATGTATTTTTTCTCTTCTTATATCGAACTGCACGTGACGCACTGATGTATTCATTAAAATAAGTCCAAATAATTTTGGTAAGTGTCTTTTATCTTCCCTCGTATCGTATTTTATGCGTGGATGTACACTAATATAAATTTATAGAATGCCTTTGAAGCCTCAGTATCTATGTTTTTCATGTCCTCACTATTATGATCAGAACATCCGATTTGGTTTTCGCTCAGTACATGAGCTGGGCTTTTCAAAATTGTTCACTGCCGTGCTGACCAGCATTCAACTGAACACAACTGCTGGGTGATATGTTTTTGTGTGTATAAGTTTAGCGCCGTTGAACCAAGATGATGGAGATAAAAGGGAAGAGTACCCAGAGAACTGTAGGCGGCCCTTATGGTTTGAGTGATAATTTTCACATCGCTTTTTAAATTTAGAGCTTAAAAGAGATCGTGGATGACGGTGATAGATTACGGTAGAGTGAACCTCACGGGTATGAACATGATGCTAAAGTGAACATGTGGTGTGAGTTTTTGCACGTCAATGTCAGCATTTGTACGTGCGATAATGGATCATTGGACCTATCTATCAATGTGTCCATCATTGGTGAACGCGTGGCAGAACCATTACCCTAAGGAAAACGAATCAATAAGCCTTGCATCTCACCATACTGAGTTATTTTCTGGTCGAGATCAAATTATTTTCAGTCCTTAAATTGTAGCAAATCGAGTTCACGAAAGTAAGTAAAACTGAAATGTTTTAACTTCGTATCACAATCGCTATTGCTGTACATACTGATCTCTACCATGCTTTCAGAGATACACGCTATGGTAAAGAATGTTGCTCACATAATCCCATTAACTCAATGGCTAATTCACTGGCGTGTATTTCACAGCGTTTGTCTTGCCTTGGTCATTTAGAGCCACATCTGTTCCATTATAATTTTTCCCTCTGTGGTGCAAGGAAGCGGAAGAGAACCAACTTGTTTGGGACTCCTTATCAATAGATCAATGTCAGTGATTGTGATACTAGTCGAAATCATCATTTCGGAAGAGCAGTCGGTTTTTCCGTTTTTCTCTTTTATGTGATCAATGCGGTGTTTGGCCAGACTAAGCAGTAAAACGAAAGCCCGCCGATTTCGGTGAGGCAAGTGAACAATGATCGATGTAGTTCAACTCATGATCCATGAACGATGAGAATTGCCATATACGTTTAGGTTTGGTTCTTTTAGACAAAATTTACTGAGGGTGTTAATAAGTCATGCTTGTTAGTAGTATAAATGGTTTTTCTCATGCGTGATAGCTTTCAGTAAATTCTTCTCATAAACTGAACACGCAGCAACTTTATCCATGAACTGAACCATAAATGATCCTCGTTTATTTATGGAAAAATTTTGATTTCAGTGAAGGATATGTAGTTATAACAACGGTCATTCAAAAAGAAGAAAGCATTCCTTTTTAGTAGTGTGCATTGTCGGAAGAATGCAAATTTTCTTAACGCACCACTTGAACATTTGATTTCTGACTCTCAGAGTACGATTTTTACTACGATTTTTATGAAATAGTCATTGGATATTT